CGGTAGCTTCCTGAAATCTATCATCCACTTCATGCCAGGGGCGCCTCACCCCACAGTGGGATCCAGACAATCGTGGTGATAGTACGACGGTGCATAGAAGGCAATGGTGGAATAGTAGTGGTGGCGGCTCCTACTCAAAGGCCTGGCAGAAGAGCTCCGTCTTGCAGGCCCTGTGGAACTGAGAAAGGTCCCGCAGGGCCCGGATCTCCTCCGGGAGCTCCTTCCACCAGGTAGGAGCCGCCACCGAAAATGCCCTGGTTGCCGCAAATTTAACATCTCTGGGGCCTGGAATTTCCAGGAGATGACGACTCCCCGACCGTAGTGCCCTTGGGCAATACTGAATTGGATAGATTGGTTGGTCTCATTCAGTATAATACAACTTCCGGTGTTCATGAGTGCCTGGGGATTGAACCTGGGACTTTTCGGCAACCACAGGAGGTGCTCTGCCACCGAGCCCCCCTCCAAATGCGGGACACCTCTAGTTTTAAAAGCTAGGGAGGCTGGGAAAGCTCCCTGCTGGAGAGCAGTTCCCACCTGTGTTCAGGGGTCGTTTCGTAGAAAAAGAGCTAGGGGAACTCATTAGCATGACTCATTAGCATATGCCACACCCCTGACATCAGGGGCCCGGCAGTCCCGCGAATCGACCTCTGTCTGTGTTCCTGGAGCAGTGGGATTAGGCAAAAAAGATGGAAGGTGCCTCATATCCATATGGCGATATCTTTCGCTGCCAGTAAGTGGCGCTGTTGCTCTCACCTTGACCTGAGGAAGATGCTGGTTAAAGGAAGAGGCCTGGGTGAGACAGAGGGACTCTTGTGGTTCGGTGCATTGCTTCACTAGCAGGATTCTAGACACCTACGTAGACACCCCCCACAAAAAAAAAACTCGGATAAATTATTAGGGACTGTGATATAGCTTGCTGAAACTTAGTGTACCCTCTAAGCTGAGCCAGTGTGAGCTAGCTCACAGTTTTGTAGCCTCCGGTTCACACATCTTTTTGTCTTAGCTCAGGAAGGAGGGCCCCAGAGCAAACCAATTGATGCAGTAGCCAAATCGCTCGCTCACAGCTTTAATACCAGGAGCACACAAAGTAGAATTTTTGCTCAGAAGACTCCACAGCTTAGAGGGAGCATTAATTTTTTGCATCATTTAATGTGTCATGTTAATAGAAGAGAACAGATTGGATTTACACCCCATGGCCCTTCACTACCCAAAGGTGTCTCAGAGCGCCTTACAAACTCCCCTCCCTTCCCCTCCCCACAACAGACACCCTGTGAGGTAGGTGGGGCTGAGAGAGCTCTGGCAGAAACGGCTCTTTTTCAATGACAGCTCTTATCAGAACTACGGCTTGCCCAAGGTCATGCAGCCAGGTGCAAGTGGAGGAGTGGGGAATCAAACCCGCTTCTCCCAGATTAGAGTCCGTGCACTTAACCGTGACACCAAACTGGCTCTCTAATACTGAACGCTTTGCTTCGGTTCTCTCTCTTTTTTTAGACCTGGTTGGTTCTACCACCACCCAAATTCCTATCACACTGTTCATTGAATGTCTCATCTGGTTGACTGTACAGACTCAACAGTGTTGTAATCGACCTTGAGTTCCAGTTAGAAAGGTGGACCAGGTAAAACATAAATAAAAATAGAACGATAAAACGGTGCTGCCGGCCACAGGCATCTTGGTGTGGTCTGTTGTACAGACACCAAATCTCTCGTGAAGACTGCAACCCCCAGCAGTGTTCCCTCTAAGCTGAGTGAGTGTGAGCTAGCTCACAGTTTTTTAGCCTCCGGCTCGCACAGTTTTGCCTTCGCTCAGGAAGGGTGGCTCCAGAGGCAAACTCATTTATGCAGTAGCCAAGTCGCTCGCTCACCACTTTAATGTCAATAGCTCACAAAGTAGGATTTTTGCTCACAAGACTTCTACGGTTTAGAAGGAGCACTGGCCCCCCCAGTCCAAAGAATTTCTGTCCTCTCCCCCCAGACCCACCTGAGTCCTGTTTATAACATTTCTTCCTGCAGGTGCAGTCTGCCCCTGGGAAAAGGCACCTCCAATTGACTGCTGGCTGCAGTGGGACGTGACGGAAAGATTTGGGAGCGGAAGGACGCCTTGGATAGCTGATGTGTCCTGAACACTGCTGGGATTTGGGGGACGGACGAAGGGGAGAGCTGCCCCTTCGCGCTCATCAGCTGTTCACTGGAGAATGGGGCTCCCTCCGTTTCCGCGGCGGAGATAATTCATTTCTTCTTTTCCTGAGAGGGATTCAGGTTTATGCCCTGGGCTACTGCAACTAGAACCCTTTAGCAAAGCACACCCCTCCCCCCAAGCCAAGCTTGGCTCCCCCCCCCCTATTTATGGCACAAAATTCTTTGGTCTTAAACATGAACGTGTCCACCTGTGTGTGGGTTATGTATATCATGGTTGAATTAAATGGCATTTCTCAGAGCATCACCTGCAGTCTTTCCCACTGGCTGCTTTTAAAGAGTGTTCTTCTGTCCCCATGCCAGCAGAGGGGCTGGGCAGATTTACTGTCCCGTTTCTAAACTGAGAGGGGCTGCGGCTGAGACCCTGTCTGGACCCTACTCCTCTTTTCTCGGCAGTCCCGTTTCCACATTCAGAGGCAGACAACCTCTGAGTCCCAGAGTCAGGAGGCAAGATCGGGGGAAGGCCTCGGCCTCTCTCTGCCCTATTGCTGGCCCTCCAGAGGATCTGGTGGGCTCCTGTGTGAGACGGGATGCTGGACCGGATGGACCACTGCCTTATCCAGCCAGGGTCTTCTTAGGTTCTTACTAAGGCCTTGGCCTCTTTACGCTGTTGTTGGCCCTCCAGAGGAACTGGCTGGCCACTGTATGAAATGAGATGCTAGACTAGATGGACTACAGGTCTGATCCAGCAGGGTTCTTCTTAAGTTCCTATTCGAGGAAGGCCTTGGCCTCTGTGCTCTGTTCTTGGACCTCCAGAGGAACTGGTTGGCCACTCTGTGAAACTCTATCCTGTACTGGATGGACCACTGGCCTGATCCAGCAGGGCTCTTCTTATCTTCTATGCTCATAGTTTCAGAGGGGAGCCATGTTGATCTGCAGCCAGATTCGAATCCAGGGTCATCTGAGAGACCAACCAGATTTCCAGGGTAGGACCCTTCGAGACTCAAAGTTCCCTTCGTCAGGTAAGTGATGGTTGGTCAGATAGCTGGTTGGTCTCCTAGGTGTTGCTGCACCCGAATCTGGTTGAGTTTCCATCTCCCTTAGTGTGTTGGTTGCCCCAAGGTCTCCAAAGCCATCTCCCCAATGCATTAGAGTTACATGGACAACACCAAAGTGTATTGAAGTCTTGTGGGGTTTTTATTTTTGCCGTCTGCGTGTGACGTCCTGTCCCCCCTCCCTTCACTGTTTTCCTCCCCGCCTCTGTCTGCCGGGGGTGTGTGTATTTCTGTCAGCTGTCAGCAGGCAGATCGGTTGCTTTCCTTCATTCAAGAGTTGGAAGGGACCTCCAAGGTCATCTAGTCCAACCCCCTGCACAAGGCAAGAATTTCACAGATTCCTTCCCCCCCCTACATCCCCACTGACCCCTGCTCTGTGCCCAGAAGATGACAAAACCTCTCCAGGATCTCCAGCTGAACTGGTCTGGAGAAAATGGCTTCCTGACCCCAAAGGGGCGATTAGCATTTCCCTGGGCGTGTAAGAAAGGGCCATGAGGACTAAGCACTGAGGCAACCCTCCCTCTCGTGATCTGCCTGAGTTCACAGAATTCGCATTGCTGACAGATGGGGCCATCTAGCCTCTGCTTGAAAACCTCCCAAGAAGGAGAGCCCACCACCACCTCCCGAGGAAGCCTGTCCCACTGAGGAAC